TCCCTGGAAACATTCAAGGCCAGGTTGGATGGGGCTCTGAGCAACCTGATCTAGTTAGCGGTGTCCCTGCTCACTGTTAGCGAGGTTGGACTAGATGACCTCTAGGGGTCCCTTCCAACCCAAAACATTCTATGATTCCTAAAAGCAGCATTTTTGGACCTGTTGGAGGACAGAATAGTTTGAGTAAAAGAGTTTAATGGATAGGAAATAAACAGCGTATGAAATACCAAGCTTTAGATTTTTAGATCTGAGCTCTTTCTTGCTAAAGTATTTCCAAAGATTTCATAGCCACAGTAATTTTTTTGAATATGCCCAAAATTTCCTTAAAATAATCAAAAGCCTGGTGCTATTGCTGGCTTCCTGACAGCTAGTTGTTACTGGAATCAGCGGTTGTTTCAAGGAAGGCTTGATTAAAGTGTCACATAGCTATAGTTAACTGGCATGTGACTTTTGTTTCTCCAACAGACTTTCTTATCACAAGCGTTTAATGAGAACCATGTAGAAGAGGGTTTTATTTTCTCCTTGGGGCTTTTTTTTTTTAAAGTGAAACTCTTGAACTTTCCTCTGAAGCAAAATTTCTTTGATGTTGAGCATATCTTATTCAAATATACTTGACATCCATATCTAAAGATCCTGTATAACTTGTGACGTACACACAGCAGCAGCGGAGAGCTGAAACTTCTCTTAGCATGTTTTGGGTCAGGCACAGTCCAAGCATTAAAGCAGGTTAATTGTGATCCAGGTGGGTGACAGATCACCATAGGTAACAGATCACCATAATTGTTAATTGTTATTTCAGGAAAATATCTAGGACTTGCTGGGCTAAGAGAAGATCTTGCCCTTAAAGTCCAATTGTCTTAGTTTAGTAATGAGATACAAGGAGTGGGTGAAGCTGGGAAGTGGCTAAAGGGTGCCGTCAGATAATGCTTTTGTGCAGTCTTTTGGGACTAGCTTAAAACATTCACTGCCGTCGCAGAAAAGCATGTGCATCATGTGAGTGGTTCTCACCTGTACCTGTGTAAAGTTTTCCAGGTCAGCCAAGAGCCACTGCTGAAGTTGCTTTGAACCCATTTGACACTGAAAGTTAAGAAATGTTTGGATGATCCAAGCTGGTGACTCGGCTGTGGGGGCAGTAACCTCCAGCTGTGACACCAAAACAAACACCTGGGAGTGGCACAGTGAAACTGCACTGGCCACTTCCAAAATGATTACACCTTAATGTACCTGGTGCCTTTTCAGAAAGGGGACAATGTGGGCTCTGTTGGCAAGGAAGAATACTTTTTTTTCTTGTTCAGTAGCTGTAGTGTGTGCTCATCATCAGCCTGTCCCCTCGCAGGCAGCAGTACTCAGGAGGCAGTGACGGAAGAATGTCCAAAGGGTTTTAAGGAGGGAAAACTGGGTTAATGCCACTTACCACCGAATTTTAAAAGAAGGCACACTGTGCATGAGGTAGGCTTGGGTGTATCACAGTTAGCGCAGGAAAGGGGTTAAAAGACAAGGCTGCAAGGCGATAGGGCAGGGAAGTACAGCAGGGCAGCATTATGCCTTGGAAAAAAGAGCACAGTGGAGGGGAGAGCCAATGAAGGTGGTCCTCTGCAGTATAAGATGGGAGATATAACCATAGTAAAGAGGTAGGAGAAGAATGTTATCTCAGGACCTGAGGTGTATCTGCTGTAGTAAGAGAAACACTCTGAGAGGCCAAGGAGGTGTTTGGCGTTGTAGATGAAGAAGGGTATTGAAATGTCAACTTCAAAAACAGAGGAAGATGTAGAGAGAGTCTGGACTGATCCTCAGAGGGGATCAGATGTTGGCACTAGTCACAGTGTCAGAGAAGCGCAACAGAGGAGACGATCAAAAGGCTGTTCAGTAACTGGGCTTCACAAATGTCAGGTTCTGAGGCAAATAGTTCAGTGTTAGCGGAGGCAGTCTGCAGGGTGGTGCACTTGTGTCTGCCCATGAAGGACAGCACATTCTGTGCTTGAGAGCTGCAAAAGTGTTAACGTGAACTAATTGTATTAATACAAGTGCCAGGAAGGTGTATCTGTGTAATATGAAGGGTCCTGCATTTCACCCAAGGTGGCTTGACTGGCCTAAGTTCAAGCAGTTAGTTTTCACAATCTTGGTCATGGTTTTTCAGCAGTTGTTTGGGTGTGTAGTGCAAGCTGGAACTTCCCTCTTCATTTTCTTTTATAGTGTACCACACGTATATTAAGAGCACAATAATGTTTTACTTTAGAAGACTCTGTAAAGGTCAATGTAAAGGAACAGCGTGGTTCACAAAGGTCTTATGGTTTTCTTGAATTCAATAGGAAATAGCCCGTTATCTCCGACCTGGAACTCTGCGTGCTGTCTTCGGGAAGAACAAGATTCAGAATGCTGTCCACTGCACAGACCTACCTGAAGATGGACTTTTGGAGGTAAGATCTGCTAGACAAACATGTGCTTTTATATCATAGGAAGTTTTAAAGTTAAAAGCTATACTTGACACTGTTTTAAGCTGTTGGAGTGTTTTATACATGGAGTGGCTGTATTGGAGACCAGTGATCAGCTAGAAACAAAAGCAAAGACTTTATTAAGGGCCTTTAACTCAGTTAATTGTGATACTGTAAAAAATTCATCCATGCAGTTTTCTTGAGTCAATATAGTATGGTAAAGTATTTAATGAAATGAAAGTCAGGAGTCGAATCTTTGGCTGAAAGTGTCCTTGGGACTGGATATACAGCACCTAACAGTGCCTCTGCAAGGACACCTTCTTTGCCTTTTCTTGGATGACCACCATGACTCCTGATCTGGATTGTGTCTACAGTAAGCTCATGTGGGGCTTGGAATATTACAGGCACTAGGGATTCAAATTCTCCAGATAGGGTGCAGGTTTATTTGTAGACAGTCATAATTATGCACATCAGTTAGTATTTCCTGTGTTTTATATTAACTTACTAATTATTATCTGATTTTGGCTTTGTATGCTTTCATTAAAATCCAGTAAAATGGGAAAATGTTAAATTAAGGGAGTTTATAAAGACAGAAGTACTCACCAGAACAAGCTCACTTAATTCCATGCCTCAAAACTAAAGGTCTGTACACGGGGGTTGAAGCAGTGTGTAAGCATATGGATGGATCTCTGCATCAATGCAGATGTTTTTCCAGCACGTGCATAGCTTCTGTTTTACTGTCTACATGTATTTGTGAGAGTTTTGCTGTCAGACTATAACAGAATGATAGAGTAGCAAGAGTTTTCCTAGCCTTGATAATTTTACACTGCCAAAATGGTGTTTTCATTGAGGGGAGAGGAAGAACTAACTGCATTGCCATCTCCCTTCATGAAATAAAATCGGATCTGTGGGTTAAAGTGCTGTTTGCTGGAAAATTGCATCTCGTTTAAGGAACAGATTAGTGAAATTCAACACTGAGAATGGCAGCCAGTATCAACAAAGTTGCAGCTTTGTAAACCATTTTGAAGCTGTCATTAAAAGTTGACAATTTCTAGTTTCTGCCCAAAGGGACTGGATTTAAACAAGCAGTCAGGTATTTGTCACCACATGCCTAAAATCCCTCAGTTGTGGCTTTTCAATGGCAGCAGAAAAAAAGGCATAGCCTGCAAGGGAAAAATGAAAGTCTCACCAACACTCACAGAGCATTTTAGTACTTCAGCAGAATTCTCTCTCTCTCTCTTCTGTCCACAGTCTGTCTCCTTTATGCTGGTGCAGAGCAGGTATAACCCCATTTTGCTGGTTGTCTAAATTGAGTTTACAGCTACTATAAGTGAGGTGTGTGGGACAAAGCAGTTGAATTACTTCTCCAAAACAAAAATTGAGTCTGGAGTTCTTTCTCGAAGTCTCCACTACACATGTTTGTCCTTCAGATCCCACAGCTGAATTATAGGATCAAGTTCTTGGTCTAGTGCTACTCTGACTACACACTTTGCAGTTCCCATTGCAGACTGGTCATTTTAACAGTCATTTATTGATTGTATTTTTTTGGGAGAGGGGTCTAAAATATTTTTTTTACCATATGCATATTTGTATACAGAATGTGGCTCTTCATCTGTCTGTAGTTTCTTCTATAAGAGCCCAGGTTAAGCCAGCAGTTGTAAAGGACATCGGTCAATGTTCTTTAATGAGTAAATAGAGCAGTGAATGTTTCATTTTGATTGTTTGGCAAATAAGTATTATAATATAAACTATAGAAACCTTTTTACTGCTAATGCTTTAATTCTTGGAGTATCTTTAGCTCTGTGTTCTGTAAGAAATACAGTTGCCTGAAAACTTAGGTAAGCAAAATAAAAAATAACCTCTGGAACTGCTTAAATGCAAGGGCTTTCCACAACTGATGAAACAGAAATGATACACTGTACAGAGAGATCACCCTTGGAAAGGACTTTTTCCTCAGTGGGCTTTTCTGCGAGAGGAGCTCAAATCCAGTCACAGAGGTCTCATTTTCTGGCAAGCAGAAACCAGACCTTTCTCCCCCCTCAGCCCCAATAACTGTAACAGTGCTGTATGTGCTGGGCTAGAGCAGAGTGACTGTGTGGCATGCAAAATGACCATAGAAGGAAACTGAGCCAGACTAACATTTTTAAGAAGTATGCTCTTCGGTAAATGGTAGTGAATGTTTTCATTCTTTAATGGATAACTGAATATTTTAATACACTGAATTTAACAGAGCAACTGTTCTCAGCCTCAGAGAAGGTGAATTCAGAGATAGGTAAGGCACTTGTCATTGAGGAGAATGACCTTGGCTGTGTTGGAGCAGTGGAACTTGCTTCTTTTGATATGGAGTTAGCATGTTTGTTGTGTCCATCTTCTAGTAGGAGATGTTGCTGTTGCTGAGATGTTAATGCTGCTGTCGCTATAAAAGCTTTACAGAATCACTGTAGGACAACTGATTAGTAGAGGAGGAGCCTGGAGTAAATTTCAGAGAGAAATCTGACCTACTAGGTTTATACTACAAAGGTGAAGGATCCCTTTTTAAAACCCCAAAGAAAATTAATTCATCCCTAGCAGCCTCTTTCCTTTCTTCAGGTGGCATTGTTTTTTCTACAGTGTTAATATTCTGCTGCACTTACTACATAATATAGCTCCAAAAACCAGCCTATATGCAAATTCTTGCACTCCTGTTTTGCTGATGAAAGGTAAGTTTGGCAATCTGAATTCAGCCATAAGAGCTAGGAACTCCAGAGTTTCATTTCTAACTCTGGTGCTGGTTTTATCTGAGCTGGGCTAAGCCACTTTTCAAATTTTGGCATGAAAGTGTTTAGCTTTGAAATTCTGTATGAAAATATTCTTATTTATATTTCTTTTCTCCAAAATAAAATACCAAATGCAACAAATTTTAGAAAGCAAACTGTAGAATCGTTATTACAAATAATGACACAAAATTTCTAACACCTTTTTTTCCCCCGATTCCCATGAGATGGGATGGGGTTTTTTGGTGGGGCTGGTTGGTTTTGGTGTTTTGTGGGGTTTTTATTTATTTATTTTTGGTTTTGTTTGCTGGTTTGTTTGTCTCCACACTTCTCTGCAGTTTTCATCACCCACAGCTTTAGATCTAATTGAAATTTGAAAAGTGTGTGCAGTGGCAGCTGCTGTCTGATTGTCCACAAATGGAGACTTCTTAGAGGAGATGAGAGAGGTAATTGAGGGCTAGATCAAATGCTTGCTGAAGTTAATAGCCAAACTCTAGGTGACTTTGGTGGTTCGTACTTAGTTGACAGTCACTAGGAAGGGCAAGGTAGTGACCTCTCTCCCGAAACTCATGATCAAGGAGTAACTCGGGGAAAGGAGAAAGAACAACACTGTCTCGGGAACAGCAGGGACTAATTAACTAAGTAAGGGTCAGCTTGTACACCTAGTTTTAGAACACTATATTGAATTAATGTAGTACAGCAGGTTTTCAATGGTGTTTTTGTTAGACCTCTTTTCCACAGACCTGGGAAAAGGAAAGTTCACTTTTAATCTTAAAAAATCCTCAAAGAAACAAACAAACAAACCCCAAAAGCAAATACCAGCACTTGCTCCCACCAGTTTGACCCTTAACTCCTGTCTTTGTTCTACCAGCTACTTCACGTTTTATGCAGTGACTAAAGCATACCAGAATTAATGAATAACTCACTCTGGCTCAAAAGAGGAGGGGGGATGCAGTTGAGCCTAAGCCGCAACTGGTCACAATGGAAAAATCAGTGTATTTTCAGTTGTAACTGCATCTTTTATTCCTAGTTTAGTGATACAGGAGAAGGGTGAATATTGCCCTGAAGCCTCCTGGTTGATCTCTTTGAATTACTGGGTCAGGCACTTATTTATTTGCTTCATAGACTTGTGTGTCCTTGTATCAGTACAAAGTGTATTTTCACAAGTGCCAACGGACGGACACGAATAGCTCAGAACAGTCCCTTTTCTCAGCCTTGTCATCAGTTTCCCATTTTAATGGGGAGAGGAAAGGAAGGAGGAAGTAGAGAAGGGAGTGTGATAGCAATGGAGTATTTATGAGATGATGGGGTTTCCTGAGTAAAGGCTAAACCACAGCAGGTTCTTAATTGTTCTGATCAACTGATGTTGCGTAGGACATTCATTCAGAGCAGGGATTTGCATTTGTTTCCCACATCCAAAGCAGGTACTGCTCTACCTATATAAAGCAGGTACTATCTGGAGCGAGCAAACAATTACAGTACTCACGTGCATTCACGTTCCTTTGGAGTCAGGCAGAGCGAGGACTGGAATGGGCATGTTTTACATGCCAAGTGCATGCTCTATTTAACAGACTAGAGACAGTTTTGCATTTGTGTCTTTCATGTACATGTGGTGAAAGATGATTCTGTTTCTCAACTCACCCTCTTTGACCTGAGGAACATTTCTGATAAATATCTTGTTGAAAGAGAAGCTTGCAAACCATTGGGTCTGATGAATCATCATTCTCTAGACAAAACAAGTTTCCTTGAAATTAGTCATTCCTGGACTAGTTGTAGTTGAAGTACTTGGTACAAGGTGTTGTGGCTACCAGACTTCACGGTTTACGTGCCTCCTTAAAGAAGTGAAGGCAAATTAAAAAACAATTGGTGAAGGCCTTATTCACATCACTGGAATTACAGTGAGTAAAACTTTCCACAGGAGGTGGTGCTGTACACACACCTCAGTTTGTTGGGTCTCAAGTGGCTGGGTACCTTGCAGATTATGTAGGAATCCACATAATCTGCAACCATTAAAAAAACTGGTAGTCTAGACCTACAGTTATAACAAAACCAGTATTTCTGGGTTACAGGCACGCTCTGCCTGTAAATTGCTGCTCGTACTGTGCAGTTCAAGGTTTGGGGGTTGGGGTTTTTTTTTGGTGAGCAGTTCCATGAGGGCAGTTGTGCTGCAGCAAAACACTCCGGGGGCGATAGAGTGCACACATCTGGGGTAACCTCAAAGGTCTCTCCACT